AGTTTTCGTCCAACTCCATTAATGTAGTTGGACGGAAACTTTTGGGAGAGTGACTAAATGTGACATGTTTCAGTAATCCGAGTGACTAAATGTGACATTTTTCAATAATTCGAGTGACCGAAGTTGGACAGAAGCTACAGAAGAGTGACCAAATGTGACCTGTTTCAGTAATTCGAGTGACCAAAATTGATATTAAATTTTTCTAGTGACTAAATATGACACGATTTAGTAATCTCAGTGACCAAATGTGTCATTTACCCTTTTTTTGTTCTTGTTCGTTTTGGCTGTTTTTGTTTGGCTGTCCATTTTCATGGGCAGGAGTTCTTGAGTACAATTTTGACCATTGGCCCCCTGCATTAGAAACAATAAATGAATATATAGATGGTCAGATTCATAACTAGTGGAATATGTTTTCATAGGTTCAAGTAGGGTTGTCCATTTGGTTTTGGTTTTCGGTTTTAACCGAAACCAAACCAATTGGAAAGCTAATGGTTTCAGTTTTTTGATTTTAAACCAATAAGCAACTTAATGGTTTTGGTTTGGTTAAAACCGAAAAACCAATAGAAACCATTAAGAAACCAATAAGAATGAAATTATTTATCAACAAATTTTTTTTTTTGTTTCTTTTGAGCCAACCAATAACTTGTAATGGCCATTTATCATTATTATGACGTTAATTCAATAAAAAGAAGGGAAATATGAATAAATATGAGTGTATGAGTACATGTTGGTTTTTTGGTTAACCAAAACCATTAAGGCCCTTATTGGTTTTTGGCAACCAAAAACCAATAAGGGCCTTAATGGTTTTGGTTTTTGGGATTTGGTTTTTGGTTTTTCATACTTAATGGTTTGGTTAACCAAACCAAACCAAATTGACAGCCCTAGGTTCAAGTAGAATAACAGAATTAGTTTGAGCCTTTGAGGTGCACTTTTTTACTCCGTACATAATAACACTTTGAGGGAATTCAAATTATTATTAGTATTATAATTCCGAGCGGTACAGGAAGAGACGATTCCAATTGATCCCGCAACCTCATCGATGCAAGTAGAGGTGGCAAATGGATTGATCCATGGATTGGTGGATCAATGGATCAAATGAATTGGTGGATTCATGGATTGGATCAAGTGGATTGGTGGATTATCCATGAATCCAAATGACATCCTCAACCAAGGACTAATATATAAAATGTGAAAAGTTTAGGTACTAAAATGTCATGATGAAAAATTTAAGGTATCAAAATGTAATTTCCCAATGATATTTTCCGTATAAAAAATAAATTTTGGGTACCAAAATATAAAATATAAAAAGTATAGGTACCAAACCGTAATTTGCCATTTGAATCCATGGATCAATCCATGAATCCACCAATCCAATTGGATTTGGATCAAATGGATTGGATTTAAATGGATTGGATCAAGTGGATATTTTTAATGGGTTGGTGGATTGGATTGAGAATTGCCACCTCTAGACGCAAGTAATTCTCCATAGGGTTGCATGTTCAATTCAGTGACAGTAGGGCTGAAAATGGGTCTGACCCGGCCCTGACCCTGTCTGACCCGCTTCTGAAGGGTCACGATGTATAACTGACCCGTCCCAACCCTGTTTCTTTTATGACCCTGTCTGACCCTTTAGAGTCGGGGCGGGTCAGTGGGTCGACCCTAATAAATACACTACTTTTCTAAAAATTATAATTTGGTACCCGAACTTATTCTTCTTACATTTTAGTAGCTAAATTTTATTTTTTTACAAATAAGCTCCAAAAATTTGATGAAAAATTACATGTTGGTGCCCAAATTTTTTTCTTTTTACAATTTAGTACCTAAACTTTTGAAATTTTACAAATAGGTCCAACATGTTTGTATGATGCTAAGGGTCATAGGGTCAAAAAGTGACCCGACCCTAAATTGACCCGACCCTACCTGACCCGATCCAAGCCGACCGACCCTAAACTGACCCTGTAGACAAAATGACCCAGCCCGACTCTGAGGGTCGGAGCGGGTCAGTGGGTTTTAAGGGTCAAACTTACACCCCTAAGTGACGGTTGCCTGTGGATTATGAATTGTCTAGGGGGTATAGCGACTTCATAATACCGACCTCTGGGCACTCTGTTTTGTTGTTGATGGAATTGGGTAATCATAAAATGAGAGCGAGTCATCAAAAGAAGAAAATAATAAATAAGAAGTCATCACAATTGGCACACGAGTGCAAGATGAAGATGAAGGTATGACCAGGAGCAAATCGACCGGTACCTTTGTTCATTTATTGAGAGAAAGGGATATGAATTCCAATAGCATGAAACGAGAGGTACTAATTACGCTCTAATTTTTTAAATTTATCGCCTTAATTTAAGTAAGTTGACGTTTGCCCCTAACAAAATTCGCAATCAATAACCTAATTTCCAAAAAAAACCCGCCCTAATCCGCGCTCTGTTCAGCAATTAGCCGCTCCCGTCGCGGCCGTTCGCCCTGGGATTCTTCCCCCGTCGCCGCCGTTCGCCTGGAATCCTCGTTCGTCGCCGCCGCATCTGCCCATTGCTCCCACTTCGCCCTCCTTCCTCCTCAACCGCGAAGAACCAAATCGTGACAACCTGTCTTCTTCCTCCTCCTTCCTCGACCACGAAGAACCTCGGCGCGGCGGCTCCTTCTTCCTCCTTCGAAAAACATCGATGGACAGACGATTGAACCCGGCGATAGCAGCGCCGTCTGGCGGGGCGGGATTCGATTCTCTCTTATGCGTCCTCAATCGGTGGAGCGGCAGGCCTGGCAACTGAGACGGGGCGGAGCGAGTAGCAGAGCAGCCACGCTAGATGCCGCCGTCAACCGAGTAGCAGAGTAGCCGCGCGAAGTTGGCGAAGGTTTCCGTCAACCGAGTAGCAGAGCAGCCGCGCGAATCGTCAGCCGTCGGTGAATTTCAAGAGCCGGATTTTCCTTTCTAGGTGGTGGGGTAATATTGTCTGTTTGGTTTATTTAGGGCGAAAATTTTAAAAAGCTAGGGCGTTAAATAGGAATTCAGTTTAAGACCCCAAAATTAGTCATTTATTTCACTTGATTACCATGCAAACTAGAGTACAACGGTGACATATGTGTATAAAAATTACATATAATGTAGGGGGAAAAATAAACAACAATATATTATTATAATGCTAAATCTTCAACAATCACTACTTCTTTTCACTCATCAGTAAGTGTGCTGCTAGCCTTTAGGTTCTATCCAACCACAAATGTGCACTTCACTAGTAGGTAGGAAGTCTTCCATCACATCATCGTAGTCGAACGTGTGATACTTATGTGTATCCAGCGAATAGAACACAATGCTTCCTTTGGCAGAAAGTCGAGAAAAGTATATTTTGTTTTCCATTCCTGGAATTTTTGCCATAGTCGAGAAACATGATGTGTTACTCAGAAACACCATGTTTGATCCCAAGCTGTTGACTCTCCACCAACCCTTCTTCTGTCGATCGAACCTGTAAACTAAAATTGACTTGCCGAGATCACCCACTAGTATAGACATGATTTCACCTTCACATTCCACTAGATACTCCCTCTTAAATTTAAGGTCCTCGTTAGGATCCACGACGTGATGAGATAGGAGCTTCCACGGGTACACGTCGCGTTCCCATTCGTATAGTCCCTCGACGCCACGACGACAGTTGAAAACACCTAGTTTTCTCTTCTTATCCAGGAAATAGAACTTATCGTCCAGAAAAGCTGGGGTGTTGTGGTCGCTAGGTTCAAAATTCGCCTCCGCGTCCTCCAAGTAATGCCACTGTCCCTCATTCAATTTCAAGAAATGGAACCATATGCCACCATAGTCTTTCATACTTCGCGCTACTCCCATAATGGAACAATGTGGAGACGTAGGTGCGGCCGAGACCCCAATGCTTATAGGGGAAGGAGGGTATATCATCTCAGGAACACTCCAAACTTCCTCTGTAAAAGGATTCCAAAATGTAAACAAAAACACTGGTTGAGGCAATGGATTCACAGCGGGTTCGAAGATGTCATGCTCCATGCACGTCAGCAACCAACGCTCTTTGGAGAAGACAATACAAGTAGTTGAATTTGACGATGGAGATTTGGGAAGCAGTTGTCGTGGATTGGTGAATGTGTTTCTACATCTCAAGTCGTGGAGATGGAGGCTTGTCGTGTGGTGCTGAAAGAAGAAGAACCATGGATATGTCGAGGGAGACTGGAGTGCTAGGCCGTCCAAGGTAGTCATCAACGGTGCTATCAATCTCAATGTCTTACAAGAACTGTGCAAGTTCCTGTAATCACCCACCACAGTCAAACGTCTGGTTATATTGTGAAGCATGTCTAGAGGAAGGTCCAGTATCGATACGGTCTTGGATGACGACGATGCAACTCTGCCTTCCTTCTCTTGATACTCAATTGCTTGATGTGCCCGTGTGACACCATTCTCGATAGCAGCTGAGCTACAATGGCGACTAGTACTAGTAGTTTGGCCGCGATCGTAGCTAAGGAAGAAGATGGAGGATCGGCCAGAGTCATCGTGGAGGTCTGCTTCAGGAGGGGCGAGCATGAAATATGAGGATTGCCCTGTTTCGACATCAAAAGCAATGGTTCGATAATGATCGCGAAGGAAGTAAACACAATTGGGTTTTGGTCCTTTGTGGCCTGACGGGGGGATGCAGGAGAAACAGTTGTTGGGGTAACAGAAGAAGATGGCTCGTCCTTCCAAGCTCTTAACTTGAACCCATGAATAATAAGTAGACGATGGCGACGAGGACCTGGACTTGTGCAATTTGAAAACTTGTAAGAATTCGAGGTCACTGTCACTACCCCTCAACTCGCAAAACAGTAACTGAAGTAGTTCCCCACCTGACTCAACCAAGCGGCGTTGGAACCTGTTGCTGTTTGGTAGAGATTGTGGCCCGTTGTCTGATACCAAACTTGCCACCAGCTTCTGTTGGCTTGTTAAATCTTTCTGAATAGCAAATAAGTGTCCATCCACTGTAATCGCATATACTGTCTTATCTTGGCAAACTGTGAGGAACAAAAAGTATTTCACGTCACGAAACCTCTGTACAGCCCAACCCTTTGCAGCAGCTGCTGGTTTGCAATGCTCGAGCAGTGGAATTCCGCGGCGAGCAACTATAACTCTGCAGTCGGGGTGCGTTGGAGGATGCGTCATTATGATGGAGCACCAGTCGACAGTGTTCAACTTGGGTAGTTTGATGGACTCCATAGTGGCAGGATTGAACAAACTCAAGCATGTTGAGCTATCGGGAGGCCCAACTTGGAAGCCAGAGATTAACCACCCGAAAGGGGAGTGCCCAAGGACCGAGGAGTATTTAGGAAGCACAGCTGCAGGGAGGCGATGCTGTGGGAATTGCGTCGCCGTTGAAAACAAAGTCAGGTTCTTGTTGTGCACACTGACCACCCATGGAACATCTCTTGCAGACACTGGAAATTTCCCTGATAATGACGACGACGACTTCGACTTCTTCGATGACATGGTTGATCGATCGAGATGAAGCTAGCAAGCGAGGAACGAAGGAACCGATAATAATTTCTGAAGAGAAGGCAAGGTTTATATAGGAGATTTGCTTCCCGTTTCCCACTCTGATAGGGAAATAAAAGGCCTCTCTGATTCCGGAAGGATAGCCGTCAAAGTTTTTTTTTTTTTCTTTCTTTTTCCGGGTGTTCTTTCCGCGGTTGGGTCGAAGAAGAAGTTGAGGCTTCTCTTCTTTCTCTCGGATCTGGATTCGTCGATTGACCGGAACATGGGCCACGCAATCCAGGGACACCTATAACTCCCAATAAGAGACACATGCTGCCTTATTTTCTGGATGATTAACTCCCGAGTCCCGACTACAGGGCGCTAACTCGCGGCCTGTCCCCGTTGCTGCAACTTCACTTGCGGTGGCGCGTGTTCCGCGGCCGTGAGCACCCGGCGCAGTGGCACGAGAGGATTGGCCGGCCTTCTCTCCCCCGGCCGCCTGGTCCTCTCGTCTGGTTCCGCGCTGTCTCCCTAGGTTTTCTCATTTCCAATGTTTGATTGTTTTGCCTATTTCACAATTTGAAATGGAAGCCTAATTATGTGAGTATCCGTGAAATTTCTCAGGCGAAGGAATGGCTGGCCTGAGTTTAATATTCTGATGACAACAACGACGATGTCCTCTTAGTAAGATTCTAATAATTCCGGGATTTATCGATCGTTAAATTGTTTGACTGTGGCGGTGAGGATTTCATTCAATTTTTTTTTTCTTGCTGCAGTAAGGTACTCGAGAATGATCTTCCGAGTTGCGCTCTACACCAGGTTCGTTCGTCGTCGCTACTTGATTCATCAGTAGTTGAGTAGTGAACGTTTCTGCAGTTATGAATTGTTCATTTGCGCTGTGAAATGGGTAGTAATTGTATCCATTTTCCGATCGAACCAGTTTTGTCCTGTGGATACCCATGCCGCCATTGATGCTTTCGTGTGCTACTGGAAGCCAAGTGCAGTTATCTTATTGGAGAGTGAGATGTGGCCGAATCTGATTATGATTTCTTCTGCTAAGGGTGTAAGTTACGAGTTATCCATCCATCCATGTGCATTATAAGCCATGGTTCTTCCCTGTGAATTATGATATAGTAATTGTTTCACCTATGCAAGTATTCGATCTTTGAATAGGTAGTATAGTGGGATTGTGAATTAGGCTTTGCTTGGACTTTGGAGGAGTTTAAATGAGAGATTAAGAGGGGAAAATTGATAAACAAAAGCTATTCCTCGTTCTCGTTCCTTAGAGGATAGCTTCTTTGGTGGGGTTATGCAATATGCTTGATTATATGCCTTGTGGAGTGACTTATCGCCATTGAATGATGTTGCAGATTCTGCTTACATTATTGAATGCTCGGATGTCTTTGAAGTCCTTCAAATTTTGGTCAGGATTGGCGCTTCCCTTGATATCGTTAATGCTATCCAAGTTTGTTTTGATTGTCCCACTAAATGACTTATCGCCATTGAATGATGTTGCAGATTCCACTTACATTATTGAATGCTCGGATGTCTGTGAAGTCCTTCAAATTTTGGTCAGGATTGGCGCTTTCCTTGATATCGTTAATGCTATCCAAGTTTGATTTGATTGTCCCACTGGTACATTCTCGGGTTATTGTGTCTTCTTTTCTCTCATTGTTGTTGTGGTGTGCTTGATGCTGATAGTGTTCTTTTTTCTAGAGTACCACTCAGGCAATACGCTTCCAGCTTCTGCAAGCTCCACCTTCAATCATAAATTTTGCTGGTGATTTGAAATACGGTATGTTTATCACACTTATCATCTAGTAAAGTGGTATTCCTCTAAAAATGAAAATTGATGTGGTATGTTTACTATTTTGTGTTTGGTCAATCGTCACACTTCACACATCTTGGTTGTTGCGAGGCATAAGTATAGATTTTGCCCATGGCTGAGAACTAGGTATCTGAATTTGCCTTGGTTGTAGTTTCTCTACACTCTCTTCTTATCACATTTTTGGGCGTTCCTAAGTTAGAGTGAGGTGTATATACTTTACACCGTGATAGAAAGGTGATGATATATCTATTTCAGTGGTAGAACCTGACATGACCAAGAGGAATATAGCAAGCACTGAAGATTTGAAGGACGAGCTCTCTGATAGGCATGTATGGGTTGCTGCATCAGTTCATAGAGGTGAAGAACAAGGTGTGTTCCAGTTGCACTGGTTTCTTACTTGGTCTATCTATGCGTCATGTCAATACTATATTATTTAGATTAATCTTACAACTTGATGGTGCATGGTATAGAATATTTCCATTACAAAATGTCAAAATTTTAATTTGCTTTTGTTTGTATTGGTTGTCAGGTTTCCTGAGTTATTGTTGCTTTCTAAGCACTCATGACTGTCATCTTTTCAGTAATGTTAGCAGTTCGCAGATCGTTGGCCCGAAGGTACCCTGACTTGGTGACTATTATTGTCCCTCGCCACCTGCAGCTTGCGCACCATATTGTTGAAGTATGAATTTCAGTTCTAGCTCCATCTTTCTTCTCCTCAGCTAGTTGTTTCCAGTCTAAACTATACTTATGAGTTTGCGTGTTTGAGTGGTTACTTTATGGAAGCATAAACTTTAGGCATTTCTCGTTTAATGTTTTGTTTTGTTTAAAAATGTGCAGGAATTGCAGTAAGATGGACTTCATGTAGCCTTGAGGTCTCGAAAGGAAAAGATCACGGCCATAGGACAAGTGTACGTGGTCTACACTTTAGGTTTGCTTCTAAACTCTCCCAAGTTCCATTAGTTGATGGCCATGCATAACAAACCTGTTGCATGATGTTAGTAAATCCTTAACTCAAACTTGTTCAATAGGTGAATTAAGGCGTCTATATAGCCTAACTCCAATAGCTGTAGTTGGCGGTTCCTTCTGTCCTAGTTTTGCTGGCCATAACATATCTGAAGCTGCCGCAGCTGGCTGTGCTGTTTTAACTGGTCATTGTTCTTCTCTCTCTATCTCTGTCGACCCCTGCCTTTCATGCTATATATAAACTAATGTTTTTTAAAGCGCTTCACTGCTTCTTTAGCTTTCAGGTTTTCATGCCAGACATTTCTTACACATGATAAATGAAATGCAAAGACTGGATTCTCTTTCAGTTATGCAGGTTTTCGATGCCCCTTTCACTTCTCTGGTTCATTCATAGCCTTCTGACTGCTACCATTTTTAGCTCTTTAATTGACTGTTTTGTTCTGTATCACTTCTTCAGGTGTCTGGAAAGGAAGAACTTAAAGAAGCGCTCTTTCATCTCTTCAATGACACAAACTTGCTCAAAGCACGACGCATGGCTTCGAAACAAACGTTTCATACCCTTTCCTCGCCCTGCTCTCTTCTACTCTTCTACACACTGCTGTTGATCTAGTCCAAGTTAGATAAAGAGATCTAGTCATGCCCCGCATTTGCAGCCCAAAAAGTACTTAAAGTAAATGCCTTGGTGACACGCCAAAACACAACACCAAACTGTGACCAAGTGAAATCGCAGTCCGGGAATGCAGTAACAGGCAAGTTATATTATCAACCCGGGGTCTAGATCTACTGCTTACTCCGTGATTCTCTATTATCTAGCAAACTAGTTCGAGTGATTGCATGGTTGTCACGCCGGCCGGCGTGCCACCGGTTGTACCTGGTTCAACCGGTACCAGTCATAAAACCGGCATGACACCACCGGTATGACCGGTATGATCGATATACGAATTTCTAAGTAAAATAACATTATTTTAGTGAATTTAATTGATAAAATTTATTTTATTATTTATTTTATGAGTATAAAAGTTAAATATTGATGTTATTTGTTGGTTTCAAGTATAAATGTTTGGTATTGACGTTAAATGTCATGTTTAAATATGAGTATTTATAATTTTATTTGTAATATTGACCGGCATGAACTGGCACAAACCGGTATGTGCCACCGGTTGAACCATTCCAATTGCTAAACCGGCACACTGGCATAAACCGGTTTGACAACCTTGAGTGATTGTTGTTAAAAGCAAAAGCAGTAAGAAAGCAGTAAATTGTTCGGTTTTCAAAGTCAGGAAAGAGTCACTCGGGATTGAGTCCCCCTAGCCCCTTGATTAGGTCCAAAGGTAATTCCCTGGGTTGATTCACTGTTGATTAGACTGCGGAAGTCCCGACAGTAGTTTGGAATCTCTTAAGCTGACCAAGCCCTCTCAGTCTAACTACCCGGCAGACGACTAGTCTTCACCGGGATAGAAAGCTGAGGCTATGAACACAGAACTCCACTACTGGAATTGAACTCCAGTACAAAGCAGTAAACTGGCTAACTCTCGTATAGCCAACCTCCTACTATCGAATGAAGAGGCTCTAACAACCTAATCAGATTCTATCTATCTCAAGTTGCAGCAGAAATCGAGAAAAGCTGATCAGACTCCAATCAATTCAATAAACATGCATCATTCGATTAAAATCAAACAGTAATATCATCCCAAGTCATTACAATCAAATCCCTGACACAAGGAACTAGGGTTCTTCATACCCAAGTGAGAGAAGGGTTCTACTCCATAGAGAGAAGAGAAAACAGTAATCGGAGTAGTCATACTCATAATGATGAGGAAAATCTGCTCCGGGATGATGATCTCCACTCCTATGACGATCTCCAAGCTCGATTCGATGAAACCCAACTCCAAGATAGCTTCTAGGATGTGTTCTTCGTACTTTCTCTCTCTAGGGCTCTGTTTTTGCTTTGAAAATTCGATTCTCCCACTTTTGGCTCGGAATTGGCTCAAAAACCAGAATTTCCCGACTCACACGTGCAGGCCACACGGCCGTGTGGCTCACCACTTTGCCCGTGCGAGTCGAAACGCGGCGTATCATTAAGTTCGAACTTCAGCCTTCTCACACGGCCTGGGTTGCACGGCCGTGTGAGAAATCCAGTCTGCCCGTGTTCGGCCTCGGCAAATATCACACGGCCACAATTGCACTTTGCATGGCCGTGTGAATTTCATGGGTGGCCTGTGTGTGGCCTCGGGAAAAATCACACGGTCATCTTGCTTACTTGCACGGCCGTGCGATGCCCCGGTCTGCCCGTGCGACTTCCTTGACACCTCGCCAAGCGTCCGATCTTCGTCCAATCGACCCCAGACTCGCTCCCAAGCCTCCATTCACGTACTAGGACCTGAAATATCACAAACAAGCACAACCTAGCGTGAAATCGGCCTAAAACACGAGAATCAACACTTCAAACGGTGTAAGAACGGGGGTAAAAACATGTGTAAATAACGGTCTATCAAACTCCCCCACACTTAATCGTTTGCTTGTCCCCAAGCCAACCAAGTCAGACACCAGATAAGCTTACATATTTCAATCAACCAACATTGGGGACAAGTCATAAAGGCACAGAACACGTGAATCGTACTGGTTTTCAAACATCAATACATGAACAACCTCAATAGCAACCTGGACCACCACCACAAAGGACATTCGAGTGCAGCAAAATCGAGTGAAGGAAGAGTCTCCCTTCTGTTCACCAGCCAAACTAGACTTGACTCAACCACTTACTCAAAACAGTCAACTCATGCATCCAACTCAAGACATCAGAATAGAGATCACGCAATCTAGGTCCTCACCGGGGTACAAGAGTATATAGAATATGAAAATGAATCACTCACTCTCGACCAGTGGGGTCAGGACAATTAGATGCAAAAAATGCGCATGCTATTCTCTCAATCCCTAACATCTCTTCACCATGATGGCAGCCTCTAAATGCTAGAGCTCACATATGGGGTGTCACCACTAACTAATCCGGAGGTCTTAGACACAGGTTCAAATGACTGGCTAGGGTCTTGGACATGGGGAAAAGGCCTTTTAAGTGGTGGAAGTATTCATAGCACAAGGTTCCACATTTCCAAACACACAATCACAGTCAAACAAACCGGTATTTTCATTCTGCTATTCTGCATTACTCAATATCTCAAGAGCACAAGAGCGAAGGAGGTATAAACATCAGCATTTCCAAGCCAGGCTGCTAAGAAACACTACTAAATGGGCATTATTCAGATTTTTTGTAGTGGCTCTCTTTTGCTTTCAATTTTTCTTTGCTTTTCTTTCATTTTCTTTTCATTTCTTAAGAGAGCCACCACTTCTGCACATATTTCAAACGCCTGCCCAACTTTTAAGCACTACCTCCAACACTCACATAAACTTTAGCAGAAACAGCAGAGAATATGTAAAAACCACTATGTGGAACCTTCTAAAAGATGCAACAAGGGTGACTTTTTTCATTATAGACCAAAAGAAAGGATAACACACGGCTCAAAGGGGCTGACTAGGGGATATGACACATCAGGACAATCAGTTTTGGGCGTGGGCTAATCCTATGCCCCCATCATCTTAGCTAGTGACAACGTGAATGCTACACATCATGGAAGAGGGATCTATCGCACAAGAAAGAAACGAGCAGGCTCAAATCTCACATGGCTACCTATATGCTCTATCTCACATTCTGATACCCTGAACTAGATGCATAAACGACTGTCAAGAACAAGTAATCGATCCAAGTCACAGTTGGCAAGCAAACAGTTAAAAAACTGAACCCCTAGATCGTTCTACTGCACATCTCAGTCCTCATCATAGGTTGTCCTAGTCGCAAACAAGTTGTCATGCATTAATCCGAAAACCATTCAATTCATCAATCAAAACACAGTGCCAATATGAGCAAACAGCAGTACTTGGAGCCCTCAAATCGTAAGATTCGGACAGCGGACTAGGCTCCAAGCACACAGATATATATTCCAACCGATACAAAGCACCCCCCCACACTTAAGCACGACATTGCCCTCAATGGAGTAGAGGGAGAGATAAGGGGAACAATGTTACCGGATTGAAACACTGCTGGGGGACTGGAAGTGGACCAGTCAGCGGGACTAGCATCAGCAAAACACACTGGGTGATAGAAACCATAGTTCCAAGTGGACAAACCGACAAAAACAAACGAAATAAAAACAAACCTTGGTGGGGTTGCCTCCCCACAAGCGCTTCTTTACCGTATTTTAGCTGGACGCCAGTATGGATGCTCAGGGAAGTGTAGGATCAGGTGCCTTCAAGAGCGGATCCACATCGCTCTTGAGGTACAACTTCAAATGGTGGCCATGCACGCGACGAATGTGGCCACCTGCATTTGCCAGCTCGACTTGGCCATCCGGCAAGATGCAAGAGAGTGAATACTCGGATGGCCAAGGCGGGGGCGGGACCAGCTCGTAGAGGTCTCCGGCGCTCTTTTGAGCAGGCTTAGCTGCCTGCAGTTTCGGCCGCCACTCCTCCTTGAGCTGTTCTTTTGATGACGGAGTGGTTCGGAGTGGCGGCGAAGGTGTGGGAGGCGGGTCCTGCAAAATAGGCAGCACAGAAGGATACACGACAGACTCGTACTCCTGGTGAGATACAGCATGCAGAGGTAACAAAGCAAGTATAGTGTTAGCAACTGGAAACGTTATTCGCTCCTCGCCATCCCTCAAAACTAGGGTCCCATCAATGCACATCTATGAGAGCCTTGGCGGTGGCCAGGAAAGGCCTTCCCAGTATAAGGGGCACTTCTGTGTCCTCATTGATGTCCAGGACAACAAAATCCACAGGATACTTGAACTTGCCAACCTTAACCAGAAGGTCTTCCACTATGCCCCTAGGATGCACTACAGATCTGTCAGCTAATTGGAGGGTCATCCTAGTAGCACGGGGTTCACCTAGGCCTAGTTTCTTGAACAATTGATATGGCATAACATTGATACTAGCACCTAAATCCGCCAAGGACTTCTCTACATGCAACTTATCAATAGAGCAAGGGATAGTAAAACTACCTGGGTCCTTCTTCTTCTGCGGAAGCTTGTTCTGCAAAATAGCCGAGCACTCCTCGCTGAGCTCCACAGTGGCCAGCTCACTCAGCTTCTGCTTCTTTGAGAGAAGCTCTTTCAGAAACTTCGCATACTTCGGCATTTGCGATATTGCCTCCAGGAAGGGCACTTGGACATTCAGTTTCTTAAGCATGGCCATGAAGTTTTCGAACTCTGCCTCCAGCCTGTCTTTGTGCAACCGCGTAGGGAAGGGAAGTTTCGGGATGTACTCCTTCACTACCGGTTACGACTTAGGTGCAGGTACCTCAATCTCCTTTCCTGCCTCTTGTTCAACCGCTAGAGTCGCAAAGACAGGCTCTCTCTCTGGTTCCCAAGCAGGGGGATCAACAGTCATCTTGCCATTCCTGGTCATGATGGCATTGCAGTGCTCATTCGGGGGCGGCGGATGAGGGATGGTCTGCCCGGGTAGGGTACCAGGAGTCCTTCGAGCCACTGCCTGAGCCACGCTCCCCAGCTGGGTCTGGATATCCTGCAAGACAGCCTGTGTGTTCCTCTGGCTAGCTTCAAGAGCCAGGAATTTACCCGAGGCCTTTTCCATGAACTGCTCGATAGTGTTGAACTTCTGAGCACTAGAACTAGCGAGAGAACCCACCAAGTCCCGCAATTCAGCCATCTGATCATTCTGCACTGGGGCAGCAGGGGCTGTAACTGGCTGTTGGAAAGGTCGCGGCTGTGATTGAGCAGCATGCCCCTGCATGGGCTGATAAAGAGACTGTTGTGGCTGCTGGAATTGCCCCTGTCTGGGCTGATATGGTGGCCTCTGGAAGCCCGGCGGTCCCTGAGGAACTGGTGGTCTGGAATTTGCCCCACCCCAGGAGAAGTTAGGATGCTGGCGCCACCCCTCATTGTACGTGTTGCTGTAAGGGTCATTTCGCCTGACGTTATTAATGAAGTTCACCTGCTCCTGGGGTGTGGTTGATTCCTTCATTGCCTGGCAGTCTTCCACCGTGTGATGGGTGCTCTCGCACCAGTGGCAGAGCATCGCCTGCTGCTGTCCGGTCCCTGGAATCATCCCGGAACGATCGATAGCTGAAACCAGCTTCGATACTACTTGCACCAAATCAGAGGGATGGGCTCCCACAGAATGTACACCTCGGCTTGGTGCTCTCCTCGATCTCCTGGCAGTGCCCCAATCATAACCATTCTCCGCCATCTCCTCAAAGAGTTGATTCAGCTGTGGCGGGGTTTTGGTCAGCATGTTCCCGCCACAAACCGAATCGATCAGCTGCTTGTCCTTCGGGAAGAGGGCGTGATAGAAGGTGCCCACCTTGAAAGCATCATTGAAGCCATGATTTGGACACCTCAGAAAGAGACTGTTGTATCTCTCCCAAGCATCCCTGATGGTCTCATCCTCATCCTGAGCAAAATGTGTAATTTGCTTCTGCAGGTCAGCTGTCTTGGATGGAGGATGGTAGCGGGTGAGGAACTTGTCCGCCAGGTTGGCGAACGTGGTGATGGAGCCCGGAGGTCGAGTGTCTAGCCACTCCTTGGCTTGCCCCTCCAGAGTAAACGGAAAGTACCTAAGCTGGATGGCCACTGAACCGCGCAGCATAGTGATGACTGAGGTGCTCACCTCAAAGTTGTTGGCTGGGACATGAAGGTGTTGAATGGGTGACCTCATGTCCGCAGCCCTAGCGGTCCAGTAGGATCCCATGGTCTGCTCATCTGGGTTGATCACATCGTGGTTCTGCGGATCACCCATCTCTCCTTCTTCTTCTTCTCCGATCTGCAGCTGTGATAGCGCCTTCTCCGCAGCCAGTCGCGCCCTTAGAGCCCGCTTGGAATTCCTGCAGGTTCGTTCAAGCTCCTAGTCTAATGGTAGTAGTTCTCCCGACCGGCTACGGGTCATGCACTACCTGCACACACTCAGCAGAAGCAACCCGTGAAGGCACACAGGTGGAAGAAATAAAATGCAGTAAATAAAAAGTTAGAGTAACAAATTCTCACGTTTCCCCAATAACCTAGAGGGTCCCCGACAACGGCGCCAAAAACTTGACACGCCAAAACACAACACCAAACTGCGACCAAGTGAAATCGCAGTCCGGAAATGCAGTAACAGGCAAGTTATATTATCAACCCGGGGTCTAGATCTACTGCTTACTCCGTGATTCTCTATTATCTAGCAAACTAGTTCGAGTGATTGTTGTTAAAAGCAAAAGCAGTAAGAAAGCAGTAAATTGTTCGGTTTTCAAAGTCAGGAAAGAGTCACTCGGGATTGAGTCCCCCTAGCCCCTTGATTAGGTCCAATGGTAATTCCCTGGGTTGATTCACTGTTGATTAGACTGCGGAAGTCCCGACAGTAGCTTGGAATCTCTTAAGCTGGCCAAGCCCTCTCAGTCTAACTACCCGGCAGACGACTAGTCTTCACCGGGATAGAAAGCTGAGGCTATGAACACAGAACTCCACTACTGGAATTGAACTCCATTACAAAGCAGTAAACTGGCTAACTCTCGTATAGCCAACCTCCTACTATCGAATGAAGAGGCTCTAACAACCTAATCAGATTCTATCTATCTCAGGTTGCAGCAAAAATCGAGAAAAGCTGATCAGACTCCAATCAATTCAATAAACATGCATCATTCGATTAAAATCAAACAGTAATATCATCCCAAGTCATTACAATCAAATCCCTGACACAAGGAACTATGGTTCTTCATACCCAAGTGAGAGAAGGGTTCTACTCCATAGAGAGAGAAGAGAAAACAGTAATCGGAGTAGTCATACTCATAATGATGAGGAAAATCTGCTCCGGGATGATGATTTCCACTCCTATGACGATCTTCAAGCTCGATTCGATGAAACCCAGCTCCAAGATAGCTTCTAGGATGTGTTCTTCGTACTTTCTCTCTCTAGGGCTCTATTTTTTCTTTGAAAATCCGATTCTCCCACTTTTGGCTCGGAATTGGCTCAAAAACCAGAATTTCCCGACTCACACGGGCAGGCCACACAGCCGTGTGGCTCACCACTTTGCCCGTGCGAGTCGAAACGCGGCGTATCATTAAGTTCGAACTTCAGCCTTCTCACACGGCCTGGGTTGCACGGCCGTGTGAGAAATCCAGTCTGCCCGTGTTCGGCCTCGGCAAATATCACACGGCCACAATTGCACTTTGCACGGCCGTGTGAATTTCATGGGTTGCCCGTGTGTGGCCTCGGCAAAAATCACACGGCCATCTTGCTTACTTGCACGGCCGTGCGATGCCCCGGTCTGCCCGTGCGACTTCCTTGACACCTCGCCAAGCGTCCGATCTTCGTCCAATCGACCCCAGACTCTCTCCCAAGCCTCCATTCACGTACTAGGACCTGAAATATCACAAACAAGCACAACCTAGCGTGAAATCGACCTAAAACACGAGAATCAACACCTCAAACGGTGTAAGAACGGGGGTAAAAACATGTGTAAATAACGGTCTATCACTTGGCCAAGGAACTTAGTGGTCACAAGGACCAGGTAGTGTTCTTGCGCTTTGGTGATTTTTTTGTGTTTTTCATTGTTTTTACTTGGCATAGAGTTCTTGCTTGGTAGTTTAGCCAAACATTTAAGTCTGTCTCATAGGAAAGAAAACCAGTTTTTTTATAATGGGAAAGAAAACCAGTTTGATAGGCGATCTTTGATGTTAGCCTGCAATTGTTTATTTTTCCTGAACTTGAACTCTTCTTTTTCTCTGTCCAGCCATTCTTCTCAGCTAATGCTATTGCTCTTACTTGGAGAAAATCCTCTCCAAGGGTCACAAATCACTCTGTTCAGATTGCTGTGAGTGAACTGTTCTTTTGTTAGAAATGACCAGCCCAGGTATGACAGTTGCTGAAGCAACAAAGCATCAAAATCTTTGGTTCCAGATCTTTTTGTGGAGAATTTTGATGTGTTACCCTCTCATTTTGTTAGGCATGAGACGTTCTTCCAAATCAAACTTGCCATCAAGGATGAGGTTGAGTATCTTGAGAAGGCTGGAATAAACGTCATCCAGATTGACGAGGCTGCTTTGGGGGAGGGGTTGCCTCTAAGGAAGTTGGAGCATGCTTTCTATATGGATTGGGCTGTCCACTCCTTCAGGATTACCAACTGTGGTGTCCAAGATACTACCCAGGTTAGCATCACTTTCCTGTTCCCTTGTTCCGGGAAACTGTTCCAAGTTTTGTGGCTTTGATTTTAGTTTTTGCATTATGGCTTCTGGAATTAACTAAAAGAGTGAACTTTTGATGTTGGCTCGCAGATCCATACCCACATGCGCTACTCAAATTTCAATGATGTCATTCACTCAATCGTTAGCATGGATGCTGGTGTGCACAATATTCACTCGCCTAGTATCCCTTCCACGGAAGAAATTATCCTATAACGAATTACATATGTTCACATGTTCTTTCGTCTTATGATCTTCACTTCATTGATGAACAGATCCCCAGAGTTTCTAGATTGTACATGGGTTCTCTTAACTGCAACTTGGGGGTCTTGGTGGAGTTGTCAAAATAGAACGGGTCGATATAGTAGGTGGCCCGGGCAACGCTGCAAGGTTTATCTTTCTGGTGGAGACTTCTTGTATTGGCGAGGAAATTGGAAAACGACCGAAGTCCAATATTTGTTTGATTCGCTATACACAAAAGCTCAATCTCTGACTTCGAACTCCACTCCCCTCTCCTAATTTTGCAATTTGGCCCGTGATTCGCTTTCCTTTCCATTTGGGCTGACCAGCCCATTGACTCATTATTTAAGGGCCCATGGATCTGGCTCCACTTCTTTCTGGGCCCTGGGATCCATAATATCAAGATAGGATAGCTATTTCTATAAAGGGTTATAGGTATAATATGCCCCTTTGTATTTTTCTCAAACATGCCTTTCTACTTTGAATCACATCAAACATACCCCTTTACTATCAACAAATTCTCAAACATACCCTTCCGTTAGTTTTTCCTTCCGAAAATCGTTAAATCCGGTCCAACCAAATTCTACCCAGCAAAATAAGAAGCCAAAGGCATTTCTACCCTAATTTGTTTTTAGCCTATCGCCCTTCCCCACATCCACCCACCAAATTAACCTTGTCGACTAAAAAAAAATCTCTTCACTATCCTCCCTCGTTCTAGATCCCAACTCCTCCATCCACTCTTACCCAAATGATTCCTACGTTAATCGACTTAGCTACATGGTCCATGAAACCGTACCGGAGACCGTACCGGAAAAGTCAGCGTTAGGGTATTTTATGGTAAAACCGTGGTTTAGTCGTAGTTCAACCGTTATACCGTTAAATACCGCCTACCGGTTTAGCCTCCGATACTGGTATTTCGTGGTTGAAACGTCTGTACGGTACGATTTCATGGACACTGCTTAGCTACTGCTCTAACCCCGTCCATTGTATAATTCCCTTTTCCAAATCCGAACCCTAAAAAGTTCATCTCGCCCCGCATGTATCGGGTAGCCGTGTTCTTTGGTTGAGGCCGCGACCTAGACTCGATCGTGATTGACGGGAAATTGGATGGAGCCATAGGAATGATTCAATTTGATAATTGCCCGGCAGCGGCAGGAAGAATAGATGGTGGCGTTGACTGGTCGGTCGACGTTTTGAATATGCAGAAGTGGGGGATATTATTACGGCAAGGATATGGGTTTGCGACGTCGATGGTGGAAGCAGATGGGTGTTGAAACATTGTTTAATTTGATGGGAAAGTTAGTTAATCATGTTGTCTATTACAGCGGATGATTCGACAATAAGTGAAAAATCAAGGGGAAAGAAAAGAACAAAGGGAATCACGAATCAGGAAATGAAAGGACAATGGGATAAAATAAATAGAAGGGTAAAATGTAATTTTCTTCTATTTTGCTGGGTAGATTTTGGTAGGACCGGATTTAACGGTTGTCGGATGGAAAAATTAACGGAAGGATATGTTTGAGAATTTGTTGATAGTAAAGGGGTATGTTTGATGTGATTCAAAGTAGAAGGGCATATTTAAGAAAAATGTATAATAGAGGGGCATATTATACCTATTAACGGTCATTGGAGCTCCGCCTCCATTGCACACCCTAAGGACGGTCCTCGCGAGGGTTTGGCGATTTGAAGGGGATCTGTCGATTTCTCAATTGGAGGGCGGGCTGCTGCAGTTCGTCTTCTCCGTTCAATCGTACTTGCAGGCGGCGGTTTCTGCTGGGCCATGGATCTTCGACAAATATATGCTGACCCTTCAGCCCTGGTCTGCGCCATCGGAGGAAGTGATTGAAAACCTTCGGCGGGCTCCCCTTGCAGTCCAGATTTGGGGGGTTCCTTTCGACTGTTTCACCAACAAAATGGCTCTCCGTTTGGGTTCAGCATTGGGGGAAACCTCCACCCCTACTCTTCACCGGTCTGATGTCTCGGGTGGGTTATACTTCAGGGCAGAGCCTGTGCTTACTCTGTTGGAGCCCCTGCCGGACGCGATCTCCACCGGGCATATTGACCCACAGAAAGCTCATCAAACAGGGTCCTCTACCTCATACGCGATTCCAGTTTGACTGCCGATGGATCACCAACCCAGAAGTCTTGGATGTGATCAAAGCTGCATGGATGAAACATGTTCGGGGCACCACTCAGTATAAGGCCTACACCTTACTTAAACTGGTAAGGCGTGACTTGGTTGAGTGGGCGCGCTTAGGGACATCCAATTCAGCCAGGAAAATAAGAGAGCTTAAGGATGCGTTTGAGGAGGCCAGAGGGGAGGTTACCGTAGATTGCACCTTGATTCAGAACCTCGAGAGAGAGTTGGCATCAGCGTATGTTCAAGAGGAACTCTTCTGGAGACAGAAATCTCGGGTTGGGTGGCTGAGAGAGGGGGATTCCAACACGAATTTGTTTCATTGAGCAGTGCTGCAACGAAGACGTTTCAACCGTCTGTCTGGGCTAAAAGACTCAACGGGGGTGATCCACTATGATGAGGAGGCTATGGGGAGTATTGTAGTACCATATTTCAGGTGTTATTTACCTCTTCGAATGTGGATTCTGCTCAATTTGTTGCGGATTTAGGACTGCAGCAGAAGGTTACGAGCCAAATGAACGCTATGCTGGTTCTCCAGTGACTGATTTGGAGATCAAGGAAGCAGTGTTTCGTATTGGGGCGTCTCAAGCCCCGAGTTCTGATGGCTTCACCGCCGGGTTCTTCCACGCTCATTGGGATATTGTTGGACCCGACATAAGTGTCGCGGTGCATAACTTCTTCCGGTCTGGTAGGCTGCTACACAATTTCAATCATAACCCTGATTTCTCTGCTGCCAAAGGTACCTAATGCTGATTCGATGCGGCAACTTCGTCTGATTGGTTTATGTCAGGTTTTTTATAAAATTCTGGCTAAGATAATGGCGGCTAGACTAGGGCTTATTCTTCCTAACATAGTTAGTTCCTCTCAAAATGAATTTTTTAGAGGTAGGTTGATTTCTGACAATATTTTAATCGGGCAAGAAGTTATGCAATTCTTGAAAACTAAAGTGCATGGACTTGAGAAGTGGATGGCTTTGAAACTGGATATGGAGAAGGCATACGACCGCGTCGAGTGGCCTTTCCTTTTATAGATCATGGACAACTTGGGCTTTTGCTCGGAGTGGCTGCATTGGGTCAAGACTTGCATCTCTACTGTTAGCTTCTCAGTCCTGATCAATGGGCGATCTCATGGGTACTTCAAACCTCAACGTGGTCTCCGCCAAGGTGATCCGTTATCCCCCCTTCTCTATGCATTATATACTGAAGCCTTGTATGCTAAACTAGCCGCTGAGATCAATGTTGCTCGGCTTCATGGTCTTCGTGTTCATCGGCATGCTCCCCTAACGTCCCATCTTTTGTTTGCGGATGATACTTACCTCTTCTTGCGTGCGTCTATTCCGGAGTGTACCTCCCTGTTATCCCTTCTGCACTCATTAGAGGAAGTTAGTGGTCAGAAAGTTAATTTACTTGAATCCTCTTTGTGTGTGAGTGCTAATGTGAGTGATCAGGAGAGGTCTGCTCTTTGTGCTTGCTTAGGTATTGCAGAATCTACCCTTCAGGAAAAATACTTGGGCTTACCTGTTCACATTCAGCATTCTAAAACTCAGACGTTTCGGTTCGTAGAGGAGGGCCTTGCTGCTAGGATTCGATCTTGGAAATCCAAAGCCATGTCTTTAGCCGCGAAAGAAGTAGTGATTAAGTCTATAGGCTCTGCTTCCTTGATCTATACTATGTCTGTGTTTCGTCTTTCCTCTTTCACTTGTCGCAGGTTGAATGGGCAGCTATCCTGGTTCTGGTGGGCGGATCAGGATAAAGAAGATGGTATACACTGGCTCTCGTGGCAAGAAGTTTGTTACAGCAAATTTGAGGGGGGTCTCGGGTTTCGAGACTTTGAGAGGTTTAACATTGCTCTCTTGGTGAAGCAAGCCTGGAGAGTGCTGCAGAACACGGCTTCCACATTAGCACACCTGTATCGAGCTCGTTATCACCCAAATTCACCCTTCCTGGAGGCAAAGGTGGGTTCTAGACCCTCTTGGGCTTGGCAAGGGTTATTAGCTGGTCGGGATCTCCTCTTACAAGGGCTTCGGTGGCGGGTTGGTGACGGCGCTCGCATCCGCATTTTAACAGATAAGTGGCTGCCTTCTGACCCTCCCTCCTCTCCTACTCTTCTCTCTGGTATTAGTTTGTGCCCCCATCTTATTGCTGATCTGATCTGTCCGGAGTCTCGATCTTGGAATCGGGCTTTGCTAGTTTCTGTTCACCAGCGAGTCTGTCGATTTGATACTCTCCATCCCGCTCTTCTTTCGGCTACTGCCGGACTGTTTGATTTGACATTATGCGGCGAATGGCGAGCACTCGGTTAAGTCGGGGTACCATGTTCTGTCCAATGAACTGAAAATTGCTCATCCTCCATCTCCTCTTCCTTTTGACAGCAGGTTTTGGAAGCTACTTTGGAGTCTCCCACTGCCGCCCAAATTAAAAAATTTCTGCTGGAGGATGGTGCACGGCTTCCTCCCAGTTCGCGATGTACTCCTGTACAAAAGACTGGTTACGGATGCAACCTGCCCGGTTTGCTCACATGGCTCAGAATCTATTATGCACTCTTTCTTCTCTTGCAGAGTTGCTATGGAATTATGAGAATTGGCTGGTTTGGGACACTTACACAGGATCCTAGAAGGACTCTCACATGCAGATTGTTGGAACCATTTATTCTTTTCCTGCCATCTTACTAAAGTTAACAGCAGATATAATCTTCATTTGTTGGTGAGTTTGGAAGGCAAGATGTTGGTCCATTCATAAACATATACAGTGTCGGGGGTGTGCACTTCTTCGTCAGTACAGGGCTCAGGTAGATGAATGGATACACGCCACAGATCCTATGACATTACATCAAGAGCCATCGAGGTCGGGCGCTCCTTCGGCCCTCCGTCAAAACGCAGCCATCTGCTTCTGCCCTCGATGGTGTATGTCCTTCTGGTGGAGTGCTTGTTCGATTTGATGGGTCTTGGAAAAAAGGAGTAGTCGGTGGAATCGGCTTTACCGGGTTCTCTCCTACAGGTGAACTCCTCTTCGCAATGGGCAAGTATTACTCAGGATGTCGCGCATGGTTCTCGAGGAAATCTGCTTTGCTATTGCTGGTTTCTCTTGTTTTTCTTGTACTTTT